AGCGGCTGATGGCGGCCAAGCGCGCGGCCTCCGTGCGGCAGAACTCGGCCACCGAGAGCGCCGACAGCATCGAGATCTACGTCCCCGAGGCCCAGACCCGCCTCTGAGCCCAGCCACGGCCAGCCCGCGGCTTTTATAAGTCATTAAATGGGAAAAAAAAAGGTTCTCTCGAAACTAGTGTGATTTATTCAGTCTAGAGACAATGAGCCATCCTTGAAAAGGGCTCCTGAGTTGGCTTTTTTCTCTCTCAGCTTTAAGTAATGAAGATTTTAACAAAAAAAATACAAACAAAAAAAAATTTTAAAAAAAGAAAAAATGCCCCTCGTTTTCTCCCCAGCTGTGGTGTTGCTGAATGGACTGGACAGACTCCTGGGAACTCCAGCCCCTCGACTTGGAACTTCAGTCTTTTTACTTGTTCTATCTCGTCCCTTCCTATTCAGGACATTCTGTGATTCCATGAAATGCAAAAAGGCTCCTTGCAGAAACAGGGGCAGTTGATTTTGAGGGGTGTCTGGCTGCAGAGCTGCTCCCCCAGACACCATCCCCGTCCCTCCGCAAGGCCCCCCCAGGGCCAAGCCGGACCCAGCTGCACATGTTTGTATCAGGTTTTTCCTTGCTGTCTCCCTAAAGGAAGAGAAGAAACCACCCCCTCCAGTGCCAAAGAAGCCGGCCAAGTCCAAATCGCAGCTGGGCCGGGACAAAGGCTCCGACCCGGACAAGCAGCGGCAGGAGGCGCGGAAGCGGCTGATGGCGGCCAAGCGCGCGGCCTCCGTGCGGCAGAACTCGGCCACCGAGAGCGCCGACAGCATCGAGATCTACGTCCCCGAGGCCCAGACCCGCCTCTGAGCCCGGCCACGGCCAGCCCGCGGCTTTTATAAGTCATTAAATGGGAAAAAAAAGGTTCTCTCGAAACTAGTGTGATTTATTCAGTCTAGAGACAATGAGCCATCCTTGAAAAGGGCTCCTGAGTTGGCTTTTTTCTCTCTCAGCTTTAAGTAATGAAGATTTTAACAAAAAAAATACAAACAAAAAAAAATTTTAAAAAAAGAAAAAATGCCCCTCGTTTTCTCCCCAGCTGTGGTGTTGCTGAATGGACTGGACAGACTCCTGGGAACTCCAGCCCCTCGACTTGGAACTTCAGTCTTTTTACTTGTTCTATCTCATGAGAATTATTAGCTTGTTTACAAGAAGAGGACAAGAAAACACGAAGCCTTGAGCACTTGCCATGCTGTGTTCTTCCTCCTCCTCAGATCTGTTCTGCCCTTCTCATCCTTTATTTTTCCTTCCTCCTGCTCCCGTTCTCCCAGCCTTTGCATGGTTTCAGTTCCCGTGTCTGGAGCCCCCTGTCCCCGCAGAGAACACCCATGGTGTGTCATTCCTGCTGCCCTCTCCAGCCAGCAGCCTGCTGGGCTTTGTGTTCTTGGGACGGGGATGCTGGGCCAGGGAGGACAGGCACAGCAGGCCCTGTGCTCCGTTTGTTGGAGGGAGAGGACGCCGGGGCTGCGGAATGTGGGGTTGAAATGCAGCCCAGAAGCAAAATGTGCAATAAACCTGGCGCGGGAGAGCTCCGGGCACAGGAGCTGGAGGAGCACAGAGCACATCACTATGGTTTCCCTCCTCTTCCCGTTGTCCCTGGCTGGCTGGGAGAGAGGAGCTGCTGCAGCAGGGGCTGTGGGGTCAGTGTGGCCAGGAGGGTGTACATATGCACATATACACTTAGGAGTACCTGTATAGTAATTCCTACACACGGATCCTGCCCACGCCGCCGCGGAGCTGGGCAGATGTATAGCATATATTTTTACATGTACTATATCTAGATGTGTGTCCAAGTGTGTGTAAAAATATATACCCTGTGTGTAAGCAGATGACTATTTTTTCCTTATCTCCCTGCTCTCTGGGTAGAGGAAGGATTGCTAAATATTTTTTAGCCCATTTTTTCTTCCCCTTCGTAGGTCTCCTTTCCGGTCTGGCTCCTCAAAGCCAGAGCTGCCACCCCCTGATTCTTTGCCACCCTCTCACACAGAAGGTTTTTGTCCCATCCTGAGGGATCCTGCTGGGGATTTTTTTTTTTTCCTCTTCACACTTTTGAACAAGTTGGGAGATTGTGTGCTACTGTCATGGGGGTGGAGGTGGAATCCCACTGGTTTCGGTGAGAGTGTTGGTGATCCAGAAGGCAAAAAATAAATAAAAGTGAAATCCTGAACAATGCCTGCTGCCCATTGTGTGCTGTCTGGGCTGTCCATGAACGCTGCTCTGAGGTCTCTGCCCCCAGCCATACAATTCCCAAAGCTTGGCTGTGCTGGGATTCAGACTGGGCTGGAGGTGGGGGTCAGACTCTGCTCCTGGGGACGAGTGGAAGCAGCCTCACATTGCCCCGGGGGAGGTTAACATTGTATATTGGGGGAGAGTCCTTCATGGAAAATGGGGTCCGGGCTGCCCAGGGCAGGGCAGAGTCCCCAGCCCTGGGGGTGTTGGAAGGGTCTGTGCAGGTGGCACCTGGGCGTGCGTGGGCACAGCGGGGTCTGGCAGCAGGTGGGATTCCTCTGGGAGGCCTTTCCCAAACCTAAAGGTTTCACGGGGGCAGAGGCTCTGTTGGGTTGCACGTCGGGTTTCGGGGCGGATGCAGCTTTGGGGATCACTGGCAGAGAATGGGGGTTAATTTATTTATTTAACATTTACTCTTCCCCACTGCTGCTCACAGCGTGGTCAAGCTATCCTTGCTGCCCTGGGCTGGGCTTGCTCATAATATTTATGTTCTTATATAATATGGATTTGTATGTGTGTATATATATATATATATGCATATATTTCAACATGTAAGTGAATTTATGAAGCTGTAAAAATTAATTCATTTTAATATGGTTTTGTATCTTATAATGTTTTAAATTCCCCTACATGTATTAAAATACATATGCAAATACAGAGGTAGAGTTACATAGTTCTATATGTGTATACAAGTAAATATGTGTAACACGTGTACAAAAATGTGTTAACGTGTTTAGACACACCTTTTATAAATGAGAGAATTATTTGTTGCCGATATTTAGCACCCCTTCTGTCAGGAATTTCAGGCCCACCCCGGTATCCACCTGTTGTGAGCCCAAAGGACACGGGCAGCCAATCACGGGGCTGCCTGGGATCACGTGGGGATGGTGGTGTCACGAGATGGCTGCTTGCCAATCACAGCGCGGCGTGACGTTTAACAAAATGGCTGCGCCCTGCCATAAGATGGCGGGCGAGACAAAATGGCCGCTCCCTATGGATATACAAAGGGGTGAGGCCGTGCGTCACAGTACTTCCGCGCCCTATCAACCAATCACAGCGCAGGACGTACTGCGGCGGCGAATGGCCGTGAGGCTGCTGGGAGAGGGCGGGGCTTGAGAGGCGGTGGGCGTGGCCTCCTCGTGTGGGCGCCGTGCCCGCCCGTGTCCCCGGCCCGTGTCCGTGTCCCGTGTCCTTGTCCCGTGTCCGTGTCCGGGTTCCAGGTCCCTGCCCGTGTCCGTGTCCCCGTCTCGGCCGGGCGCCGCCGCCCCGCGCTCTCCGGCGCCGGGATCCGCTCCCGGCTCTTCCCGCGGCCTTCCCGGGCCCAGCCGCGGCCGCGCGGGGCCCGTTCCCTGGGGATGCCCGGAAACGCCCCGCGGCGCCGGCTCTGCCCGGCACGGCCCGGCCCCCGCCCGGAGCGGGACAGCGCCTGGACAGCTCCCGCCTCCGTCCGTGCGCGGGGGTCGCGGTCCGGGGCCCCCGGGGGTGCTCAGTGGTCTCCATGCTCAGCGGTCCCAGATCCCCGGGGGTGCTCAGCGGTCCCGGGAATGCTCAGCGGTCCGGGACCCCCGGGATGCTCAGCGGTCCCAGATCCCCGGGGGTGCTCAGCGGTCCCGGGAATGCTCAGCGGTCTCTGCTGCCTGCGCTGTTGTGGGCACAGCCCTGCCCCAGCCACAGGGGAGCAGCTGCCAGGGGGGTCTCCTCACCCACTCGTGGGGAGTTATGGGGCAGGGTTGGCAGTGGCGGAGTAGTTGGAGAAGTCGGAAAGGCTGGGAGAGCTGGGAGTGTTCAAGCTGGAGAAGGGAGTGCTCCAGGGAGACCTCAGAGCCCCTTTCTGGGCCTGGAAGGGCTCCAGGAGAGCTGGACGGGGACTTGGGACAGGGGATGTGAATGGCTTCACATCACCAGAGATCTGGGATATTGGGAAGAAACTCCTCTCTGTGAGGGTGGGGAGGCCCTAGCACAGGGTGCCCAGAGAAGCCGGGGTTGCCCCATCCCTGGAAGAACCAAAGACCAGGCTGGACGGGGCTTGGAGCCCCCTGGGATCGTGGAAGGTGTCCCTGCCCTGGCAGGGGGCTGTGCCTAAATGGTCTTTACGGTCTTTCCAACCCAAACCACCCTGGAAGTACGGGAAGTACAGAGTGTTAATGAGGCCACTGTGTGTGCCTGGTCAGAGCCCGGGGCCTGGGGGGCTGCAGGGCTGGGGGCCCTTCTGGAGAGCCCTCGCTGCCCCGGGGGGCGGTGGAGGGGCGTGGGGCCGGCAGGACAGTGCCTCCCCCTGTGCCCCACGCGTCCCTCGGAGCCCCCGGGAGCTGCTGCTCCCTGCTGGAGCTGCCTGGGCTTCCCGGGCCCTGCTGGACCCCCGTGTGCGCTCAGGGGCCGCGAGGTCTGCCTGGGGCCACAGGAGGGGCAGCAGAGCTGTGGTGGCCCCAGCTGTGACCCCCCTGTCACAGTGCAGACCTTGTCCTGGCTCCAGCCCCCCACTCCCCATGGGAATGTGCCCCATCCCACATCTCTGACCCCGAGCACAAAGCCCATGGACAGTGGGGGACACCCGAGTGCTGCTCCAGAGTGGCCCAGGGGTTTCTCCTAGGGGTGGAGAACGAAGTGAGGCACCCACACATGACACAGCTCACTCTGACACACAACTCATAGTTAAAAATAACAACCAAAACTAAAAAAACTTTTATTTGACAATAGAAAAACAAAAATATATTTACAGTAGCTTGTTATTTCTCCATAAATTTAATTCCAATAACTCCTGCCCTCCCAACTCTCTGGTCCATCCCAGGGCAGCAGCACCAGCCCCTGGCACAGGCACAGCTCTGGGGAAGGAAACCACTTGGGTTTGCCTGGGGCAAGAGAGCAGGAGACCAAACAGCCTCTCCCTCCCCCGGGGCAAGGGACAGAGCCGCAGGAGGGTGACGTGGTGAGAGTCCCAAAATCGAGGACTTTCCCGGGAAAGGAGACAAAGGGCAAAGGAAGGCTGGACACAGAAATGGAGGTGGGGGTGAGAGGCACATGATGGGCAGCGAGGGGCCCCAGCACTGCACAGGGCCCCACAGCAGCCCCTCCCTGGCACCTGCCTCTGAAGGAACGGGGTGCGGGCACACACCAGTCCCCCCGATCAGTGCCCTTCCCTTCCAGCCCCAGCCTGTGCTCTCCCCCCGCCCCGCAGAGCTCCCCGTGCTGCGGCTTTACCCCCTCCAGCCCTCACCTCCATCTGATCCCCGGGCACCGAGGGGATTAGCGCTGCCGGGCCAGGCACAGCGCTGACCCACATCCCACAGGGAGGGACAGCAAGCGACAGCCAGCCAGGAGCTGCCCCTGAGCCCAAAAACTGCCCCAGAGCCCCGAGCCCCGCAGGCCCGGCCACCCCAGCACCGCCAGTTTGTCACTAGAGGTCCCCAGCACCGCACAGCCACGCTGCGAGGGGAGGGGACAGCGAGCGACATCTCCGTCCTCCGCCGCCTCCCAGGAACCCCGCGCTGCACTTGCAGGACGCACATGGCCGTGCCTGCACCACGCCTCTTTCCAAAGGTTTTATGGAAAAAATAAAATAAAATAAAAAAGGAAAGGAAGTCGGGTAAAAAATTCACAGTCTCAGCTGTGCCCGGGCTTGGCCACGCGCTCACTGCTCCGGGCACAGCGTGCACACATTCGGCTTGAACTCGAGGGGAACGCAGGGAAGGTGTGGAAATGCTTACCGATTAAAAAAAAAAAAAAAAGAAATAATCATGTCATAAATCACAATTAAAGGGAAAATGTTTCAACAAAAAACTTGCTAAACAGCACCATAGAGATTTCTACTGGCAGCATCCAGAACAACCTAAAAAGGAAGAGGAGGGTCCTATTTTTTCCATGACAAAATGCCACAGACTCCATGTTTCCAGTTCATCTGTCCTTTGCCCTTCCCGGGGCAAGGCAGGCCCCCTGGCCAGCACCGGGAAACAGAAAGGCCCCCAAAACAAAAGGGGGGCCGGGGGGAAGGGTGGCAGGGGGAAAGGATCAGGTATTTGGGAGACAAAGCTCTTCAGCCACAGTCCTACTGGCATTAAAATAACCAGGTTCTCTCTGTCTTCCTGGAGGAACGGTGCTGGCTGGACCCTTGTTTGCAGGAGAGGAGATCAGCAGGTTTTCCAGGGAGCTCCCGTGCCCGCTCGGGCCGTGCGGCAGGGACAGGGCGCTGAGCTCTGGGCTCACACCGGGGCACCGTCCTCGGCAGCCAGGGCATCTCCAGGGAGGATGGCGGGTGGGACCGGCCTTCCTCTGCCGCCTTGGCTGCTGAGACACCAGAGCCCCCGGGGGCAGGAGCGCTCCGGGATGGGCTGTGGGGGTGAGGCAGAGGCCGGGCGGGTCGGGCCCCCCGGGGAAGGGCACCCTGCGGGACCCAGCCCGGGGTTATTTGGAGGCTCCGGGGGGCTCGGCGTGGGGAGCCAGGGGCAGCTGCCCCCCCTGCCGCTGCCGCTCCAGCTCGGCCGCCTTCTGCAGGGCCACCTCCACCAGCAGCTGGAAGCTGCTAAAGTCGTCCCCGAAGAGCTCGGGGGGCGTCGGGGGCGGCGTGTTGAAGAGTCCGGGAGTGGGGCTGCCCGCCTCGGCCCGCGCCAGCAGGGTCAGGGTGCTGCCGGGCCCGGCCCTGGGCACGGCCTCGGGCCCGGGCGGCTTCTCCCACTCGGGGCTGTGGGCGCTCACCACGGCCAGCGCCCGCGCCGGGTGGCACAGTACCTGCGGGCACACCGACATCGACAGCACCTTGGAGGCGCCCGCGGGCGGCACCACGAGCACCCCGGGGCCGGCGGCAGCGCCCCGCGGCACGGCCGCGTCGCCGGCTTTGCCCCCGCGGCGGGAGATGGTGAACTGGTTGGGGTCCTTGCCGTCCTTGCGCAGCATGTCGGGGAGCAGCCGCCGCCGGGCGTTGATGAACCAGTTACAGATCTGCCAGGAGAGAGGGCGCAGGGGATCAGCCGGGGGCTGCAGCCCCGGGGCAGGCCAGCAGCAGCTCCCCCAGAGCAGGCGAGCAGCTCCCAGAGGCTCCCCCTCAGCCCTGCACCTCCTTCCCGTGCGGCCCGCAGAGGCACAGCCAGCGCTGGCACCCACGGAAACCCCAGCACCGGCTGCTTCCTGCCCGCCCGGAGCAGCCCCTTCCTCCCTGCGCCCCGGCCCTGCCAGCCCCGCTGCGGCACCGTGCCCGCGGCTCCTGCTCCCCATGCCAGCAGCGGAACGGGCACAGCCGCGCTGCCCCGGGGCCGAGCACCCCCAGCGCCGCAGCTGTGCCCGGAGCCCCAGGAGCTGCGGGGGCTCTCAGCAGAGCCCCAGGGCAGGAGGGGCTCAGCGCTGTGCCCCCACTGCAGCCCCCCGGCTGCAGGCAGGTACAGCACAGCTCCTGCCATTCCCCAGCCAGAGCCATGGCATTGCACACAGCCAGCTCGGAGCCCACTCTGCAGGAACCTAGCCTGGGGACAGATTTTCCTTCTCCAGGTGACCTATCCTGCTTGGAGCTCAGCCCTGTTTCCACACTGCTGCCAACCCGAAGAGGAGCACTGAGGCTGCCAGAGCAGATGGGTGGCAGGAGAGCAGCACAGATGGAAAACCCTAGAAGCCATCAGGTGATGGAGCTGCAGCCCCTCAGCCCATAACAGGGCCAGGAATGGGGCAGCAGAGACACCTTCCCGTGCCTCTGCCCATGAGCAGGGTCAGAGCTCACACTAAAGGTTCTCCCAAACAACTGCACAGAATGGAGGCTGCACGTCTGGCAGCTCTTGAGCCTTGGCCATGGATTGTTTCCCCATCTTTATATAAAATGCTACATTTAAATAACTGCCTTCTTCCTAGAAAACAATTAGAAGATAATAAATCAAGGAGGAAAAAAGCCTGATCTTTCCTAAATCAACAGCTATGGAAAATATTTCCCCCAAGGAGAGAGAACTTGCCACAACTTCAGTCACAGCAAGATCTCAGTTGTCATTTTTTTCTTTATGACAGTATTTAGCATTAAAACCTCAAACACACCAGTCTTACTCCCTTTTCTGTTCCACACCCCCTCCCTTGCAGGCCTTAGCTGGGTCCCTGTGACACGATCCTGGCCACCCACCACTCTGATCCCCAACAAGAGAGGTGGACTCCCAAAAAAAAGCCCAACTCCTCAGTGCTGAGAACCCCCAAAATCCAACCTGTCCCCACCAACATGCTCATTCCAGCATTCAATTCCCATTGGAGAATGGGGCACGGAGACGGGGGCACACAGCCATGTGACAGCAGGCACTGTCGCAGGGCTGGCACACACTCTGGCTCTGAAGCAGTTCATTTGGTTTAGTCCATCCCTTTTCCTCCCGCCAGCACACCCCGCTCTGTCCCTGTGGGCAGTGTCTGTCCCCCTGCACTGTGAGAGCAGCAGCTCCTCCACAGCGAGGAAAAGCCCATCCATCCCACAGCTGGGCACGGGCTGGGAAAGCTGCTGCTGTCCAGGAAGCCTCAGTGGGAGCAGGTGCCACCTCCTAGCGCTGGAATTCCTGCGAGGGAGGCACAGGGCTTCCTGCTGTTCCTGATCCCTGGCTGCCAGTGCACAGCTCCAGCTCCCCCGGCCGCTGGAGCAGCCAGGGGGTGCACAAAGAAACAGCTGGGGGGTGGGGTGAGGGCTGGCCAGTGGCTGTGGCAGAGCCCTGCATTCCAGAGGCTTTTTGGAGAGGTCAGATCAGCATCACAGACTGAACCCCACAGCTAGACTGTGTGGTATCCCATTCCTCCAGCCCAGCAGGCAGAGGGAGCATCCCCAGGGGTTCCTGCTGCAGCCCCTCAGGCTGGCAGAAACCCCAGTGCCAGCCCTCAGCTGGCCCTGGGGAATGCCATGGGGCTGGGACCCTCTGCACAGTGGGTGCCAGGGGCACACGCTGGCTGTGGGGTCACCTGAGGCAAACAACAGCTGGGCCACACCTCAACACGAGCCCACCCGTGTGCCAACCCCCTGTGGGTCCCACGGGGCTCAGGGCACCTGCCAGGCCCTGGGCACCCCCCGTGTGCCAGGCACTGTCATGCCAACCCGGGCCAGGACCAGCCCAGCTCCCTCAGCCCAGGCCTGTCACTGCTCCCCTGACTCTCAGCCTCAAGCCTGCCCAGGGGCCCCAGGCTGTCCCCAAGCAGCTGCTGGACACAGTTCTGTGGCACAGCCAGCACTCACAGAAACACATTAAAGTGAAAGAGCAGGTTTGCCTTGCTGCCCAGGAAGAGGGGAAGCAGACAGCTGCTGCCCACACTCGGTGTCTGGGCTAGGACAGCTTGCCAGGACTGTGCTGAGCCACGGGGAGAGGAGCCAGAGGTACAGAGGAAGCTCCAGGAGAGGAGCAAAGCCAGTGGCCCTTGCCTGCTGCCTGCACCCCACTGCAGCCCAGACCCAGAGAACAGAGTGCAGCCCCCACCCTGTCAGGCTGGAGAGGGGGACAGGGCCCAGGACACCAGCATGGAGCATGGAGCACAGGGCCAGCAGCTCCCAGACAGCCCAAACACAGGCAGGGAGCACACCAGAGTGGGAAGGACAAGCACTGCTCACCCCCACTGCTGCCACATGGTGCCACACGGAGAACATCAGCCCACAGCTGGGAGCAGGACAGGGAGACTCCTGGACAGGGCTCCCCTTAATGCAGCTGCTGTAACCAGGACCAGGTGGGCCAGCCAGCACTTAACAGTGCAGGGCACGCCAAGTGCAGCCCAGCCTCTCCCTTTGGTTAAAATCACAGAATATCTTCAGCTGGAAGGGATCCACAAAGATCAACAAGTGCAGCTCCTGGCCCTGCCCAGCCCCAGGGCTGTCCTCTGCCCAGCTCCGTGTGCAGGGGCTGGTCATCCTGCTGGGCCTGTCCAGGGCCACAGGATACAAAACCCTCCCACCTGTGCAGCTTCTACTGACAACGGGGCATTCAGCTGTCCCCACTCCAGTCCCTCCACCTTCTGGCTCCAGCAGAGCTGGTCCCCAGGGCTCAGACCTCTCCCCAGAAAAGACCCTCCCTTCACACAGGTGCCTTTCCTTCCCCAGCATCCCTTCCCTCGCTTCCCTTCCGCCCTTCAGTGGCGAATGATCCTGCCTGCCCAGACCTTTGGGATCCTCGGCGGGGTTCTCCTGTCCCACAGCGCATGGCAGTGTCCCCAGCGGTGTCCCCAGCGGGTGGGGGCCGGCTCCTACCTGCAGCACGGAGAGGCTGGTCTGCCCCGAGAGGCTGAGCTTCTCCTGCTCCGAGGGGTAGGCGTTGAAGCGGTGCTCGTACAGCCAGTCCCGCAGGATCTTCACCGACTCCTTGGGGAGGTTGCCCCTTCTCTTCCTCTTGCACTGCGAGGGGTCAGGGGATGTGGCGCCGTCCTCGTCCCCCGGGTCACTGTCCGACATGGTGGAGCTGCCCGCGGGACCCCCCTGGCTGAAGCCTGGAGAGGGGGAACCAAGGGAGCTTCAGGCGGTGTCCGGTCGGGGGAGGGGAAGGGGCCTCCCACCGACCTCCCCCCGCCTCCCACGGGGGGTCTCACCCCCTCCGGGCCCGCTGGGGGGAATCCCGAGGCAGAGACCCCCGGTGGGGGGTACACACGAGCGGCACCGGCGGGACAGCAGGGGCACCAAACAGAGCCCCGGGGCTGCGGAGGACCTCAGCGCACGCACGGGGCTCGGGGGAACTCGGGGTTCGGGGGGCACCGCAACGGGGGGAAAAAAAAAATCAAGCATGGGATAGGGTGGAGGAGGGGAAGGTAAAAACAAAAACAATCTCAGCAGGAGAAAGAGGCCGGAGCTGGAGAGTGGGAGAGGAACCACGCGGGGTCATTGTGCGGCGGGGATGGAGGCGGGGGCGGCTGTCACGGGCCGGGGCTCGGCTCGGCGCTGCGGGCCGGGGGCTCGGCGGAGCGGGGCGTGCGGCCGGGCCCCCGGCCCCGCTGCCGGACGCGGCCCCCGGCGGGAGGGGGCAGGGACAGAGCGAGCCCCGGAGCCCCCGCGCCCGCCCGGCCCCGCGGGGCTGCACCCGCGCAGGGGCCCAGCCACGGGCACACGCGTGGGGACAGCCCCGGGGACACCCACCCAGGGACACCCACTTTGGAACTCCCACCCGGGGACATCCACGCAGGGGTGCCCCACAAGGCGCTGCACAAGTTCCTTCCCCCTGGCTGAATCCTGTAGCTGGGCCCCAGTCTGTGGGCAGGGGACAGGGACAAGGACAGACCTTGGACAGGAGCTGCAGGGCAGGTGTGGGTGACAACCCTGGGGACCTCAGAGCACCTTGAAGTTCCACCAGTGCTTCGTTTGGTATTTACCAGATGGGAAATCAGAAGCCCAGGACATCACTGCTCCCATGACAGAGGAAGGTGTTTCCAGGCAAAGGTGGTGACCAAGAAGAAACCAGGTGGAGCCCTTGCTGTGCCATGGCCATCAGGCTGGCCAAGGCCTCTGGAGACCCTTCTGCTCGCCCTGTGCCTCTCCATGACCACAGCAGAGCCCAAGGTCACCTTCGGAGTTTTGGAGACCAAATTGCTCCGTTTATGTGCTGCTGGTCCAGGATGTGACAAGTGTGAGATTTCCCCAGCACAGCTGTGTGCCCCTGTGTGCTGTGGGGCTGGGTTGCTCTGTCACCCTCCGCCAGGTGTTCAGTGGAGCCCAAGGGGATGTGTCCATCAGGGGTCCCCTGGAGTGGTGCCTTCATCAGTAGGAAGAAGGGAGAGGAGCTGCTCTGAGCAGTGGTGCCACATCCCAGCGCCTGTGATGGACAAAGTGCCACCATGGGAACCCTGTCCTGCAGCCAGCCCCGAGCCCTGCCTGCTGAGAGCCCCCTGTCCTGGGGGGATCTCTTGGGGATGTCCTTTTTGGGGTGTCCCTCCCCTGTCTTGGGCACACCCCTGCTCACCCCTGCCAGGCCAAGCACAGGCATCCCCCAGGACCTGTGTGCTGCTGGGGCACAGCACCCCGAACCTCACCGGCTCCTGTTCCACCTCTCCCCACCAAGACCTGCCTTGATGCCACCCTGCCCCAGGGGCAGCTCTCCCCTCCCAGGCTCCACCACCTCTGTGCTGCAGCTCCTTTGCTGCTTGCAGGCTAAAAGATGGAAATCCCTTAATGTATTGAAAAAAGCTACAAGCCTGCTTCTTTTATGGGCTATTTTTGGTCTGGGAAAAGCAGGATATGTGGTGCAATAAGGGATTAAATAACAAAAGAAAAAGGAGACCTCCTTAAATCATTTATTTTGTTGCTTCTAAATCTTCCATGACCTGAGTGGAGCTGTGTCCCGGTCTGCTATCCCTGCATTAATTCCAGGGGCTAGTGAAGCACAGGTGGGTGTGGGGAGCCGTGGCAGCACCTCCCAGCCCTGCAGGGTCGCTCGGGGCAGGGAGCACCCCCGGCCTCCTCTCACCCCAGGCTGGCTCCTGCCCGCTGCGGCCCAGGGTCATCGCCGGGAGGGTGGGCTCATCCTGCCCGCTGTGCAGCCTCTGTGTGACAGACCAGCCCCCCAGACACCCCCGGGCTGTGCCAGCCAGGGAGCCCAAGCAGGACCGTCCTCCTGAGCAGCCTGCTTGTGCTCCCACCTTTGGGAACGTGCTGCTCTGGTCTCCCACCGAATCGAGACAGGCGGGAAGGCTCCCTGTGCTCAGCACCCCCAGGGCTGGGCCATCAGCCTTCCCCGGTCCCTCCACCTGCCTTTGCTCCCTGGACTGGCAGCGTAGAAGCAACTTTGGAAAAATCCCATCGGGTGCCTGAGGGGAGCGTGGAAGGAGCCTGAACCCCAGGGCAAGCCCAGCCTGGCATCCCAGAGAGCTGATGGGGAGTGAGGAGCCTCTGGGATGAGGGGCCAGGGAAGGGGCTGCGGTGCATCTCCCTGTCTTTCCCACTGCAGCTTGTCCGTGCTGAGCCCTGCCCGGCCCATTGACATGATAATACTGCTAAACTTCAGCAATTTGAACAACAATCAGCCAACAAGAGCCTGAGGGGGAACGCTGGAAACCCAGAGGGATTCTGGGAACCCCAGGGTGATGCAGGAAATCCAGAGAAAGCTGGAACTCCCAGGGGAATGCTTGGCACCTCAGGGGGATGCTGGAATCCCCAGCCAGTCTCCCAGGCATGGACACTTCCCAGACTGGACTCTCTCCACCCTCTGCCCACCCTCTGATCTTCAATCTGCATTTTTAGCAAGACAAATTGGACTTGTGGTTGGCTGTGCTGGGTGTTGGCTGCCGCCCTGCCCTCGGGGCTACTGCTCCAGCAGCAGATCCTTCTCCCTGCTCAGGGCCACTGGACCTGCTGCACGCTGGGGTTCCCCCAGCAGGACTGGTCCTGGGAGCTGGGCCCCAGCTGGAGCCCCTCTCCTGGACGCTGCAGTCCCTCCATCTCCTCCTGCCCCTTCCCACAGGGAACTCTGCTCTGTTTCCTTCCTGGAGGCCGTAGGGCAGGACAGACCCTCTCAGCAGGCACTGCTGTACCCTTTCCTCTCAGATGTTCCTCTAAATTTACATCTCTGGACATGGCAGGAGGAGTGTGGGGACACCAGGAGCTCACACAGAAAAGCAAACACTCCGAGGTCAGGGGGTCCTGGGCTGCACTGGGAGCTGTCACAGACCAGGCCCAGAGCTGGGCTGCCCAGTACAGGAGACAGGGACAGGCTGGACAGAGTCCAGCACAGGGCCGTGAAGGCAATGGAGGGACTGGAGCATCTGTGCCATGAGGAGAGGCTGAGAGAGCTGGCACTGCCCAGCCTGGAGCAGAGCAGGCTCAGGGCATCTCATCCCTGGGGATAAAAACCTGGGGAGAGGCTGCAGAGGAGACAGGGCCAGGGACAGCTCCAGGGGCCTCGGGCACAAAGTGACACGCAGGAGGGGCCCTGTGAGCTCAGGAGTCACTTGTGCACTGGGAGCAGCTCTTCTAGACTGACCAAAAGGTTCACCTAACTTGGTGTTCCCCTGTCCCAAGTGAACACTTCTGAAATTAATGTCTTTATTTTGCTGCTGTTTAATACCTTTGAAATGAGTCAGATGAGGTCCAACTGCTGCCTCTGCTGTTTCTGATGCAGCCCAAGGACAGTTGACTTTGTGTGCTGCCAGTGCCCATGGTCAGGTCACATCCAGTTTGTCACCACCAGCACCCCCAAGTCCTTCTCCCAGGGCTGCTCCCCACCCACCCAGCTCAGCCCGTGCTGGTGCTGCCCTGACCCAGGTGCAGGACCTTGCACTTGGCCTGGCTGATCTCCAGGAGGTTCACGTGAGCCCAGATAGTTTTGGAGTTTCATAGATTCATCAAATCCCAGAATGGTTTGAGTCGGAGGGGACCTTAAAGCTCATCTCATTCCTCCCCCTGCCCTGGGCAGGGACAACTTCCACTATCCCAGGGTGCTCCAAGTCCTGTCTAACCTGGCCTTGAACACTTCCAGGGTGGGGCAGCCACAGCTGCTCTGGGAAACCTGTGCCAGTGTAGTTTATTTACTCTTCCCATAAATACCTCAGTGTCCAATAACAAATTTGTTCTGCTTTGCTGCTTCAGGGTTGAAAGTCCCACGGTGCCACCACAGCCTTGCCAGTGAAGAGGCAGCTCAGACCCAGCAGTTCTGCAGCTGCTTGAGGCAGCAGCTCTGACAGCCCCAGGCTGGAGCCTGTGGCAGCTCCCAGCTCAGGGCAGCAGTGAGTCCATCCCACTCCTGGCACTGCGAGGGTCTGGGCTGCTCACACTGGGGGATCCCCTGGGGTCAGAGGGGCTGAGCAGCACTCCTACAGCAGCTGCCCTGGAAGCCAATCTGTCCACAGCTCCAGCGTCAGCTCCTCTGCCCCAAAGTGATGTCAGTGGATGTTCACTCTGCTGGGTGTCCAAGTGAAGGTTTTATAAAGCATCCAGGCCTCCAGAAGCCTTCAGGCCTGGGAATTCTGTGTGGCTGTGAGAGAACTGTAGTTTTTCCCTGGCACAGCAGCGAATCAGGGAACAAGCTTGGTACACATGAGGCTGGAGGTGGGCTGGTTTGGGGCTGCTGCTGCAGGGCACAAGCCCTGACCCTGGGGAGCTCCCTGGAGATCACAGGTCACCCTTGCACGTCTGACAATTTGCTTTATTTTTCCTGGTGTTGGTAGTGCCTGCAAAATAGGAACACTGAGACCAAGGAGAAGCTTTTCATTCATGGATCACCTCCCAGGTGAGAGAGCAGCACCTGGGGCCTGGAGTGTCTCTGAGGCCTCTGAGCCCAGCCTATGCCCATGGAGCTCCCACAGACCCTACCAAGCACTGGTAGCACCTCTGCCGTGCACTATGCCCTCACCAGGTTTTGTAGGTTTGTCCCCCCATTTTAAATAAGGAATTGCTGGAACTTGTGCCTCCCTCCAGGGCAGCCTTCAAGCAGCGTTTTCAGACCACAGCTTCACAAGGTGGGAGCGCCCCATGCTCCCACATCCTTGTCAGGGAGGTGACAAATAACCAAACCAAGGGGACAAAGCTCCTCCCCATTTCTTATCCTCTCTGTCTCTTGTTCCCCCACCCATGCAGGGTGACACAGAAGGGTAGCCAAGCCCCTGGCACCCTGGGACAGTTGATGTGGGGAGCATGGCTGGCACCTCATGTCTCTCAGCCCATCCTGATACAGGGGCTGAGCACAACGACCTTCAGCCCACCAGCTAAAGGCAGAAAATGATGCTCAAGCTGATTTTACATCATTTGAGAGCAATTTGGCTTCAAAACCAGGCTGCCCCATTGCAAGGGGCACTGGCTGACAAGGGCAGCAAGGCGAGGAGCTGCAGTGCCCAACCAAACCCACCTTCCCAAGGCACTGGGCACAGCCCGGGGAGCACAAGGCAGCCACACAGCACACGTCTGTCACACCCATCAGGCTTTATACACCCCTCCAGCTTCCTGAATCCCTCAGATCTCAGGCTCCAAAGCCATAAAACAGCCAGGGAGGAGGAACAAAGTGGGGGATCTTTCCTGAAGGGGGAGTGTGGGAGGAGAGGCAGAGAGGCTTTTCCTCTGTGCTATGGCTCTGAATGGGGCTTGCTCAGGCTGGAGCCAGCTCAAACCCCTGCAGGGCAGCAGGGGATGCTCACCCCAGCCCCGGGACCAGTGGCATAGTGGCTTTGAGGGGGTCAGTGGCAAGGCTGGGGTGCCCAGAGGGCAGGAGAGGTGATGTGAGGGGGAGGCTGGAAGGGCACGCCCAGCACAGTGATGGGAGCGTCTCCCCTCCAGCCATGTCCTGATGCAGGGTGATGATCCTGGAAGGTGTTTCCTGTGGGAGGAGTCTGCTGTGGGGCAGCAAGGGGGCCAGGGGGCAGGGGATGTGCAGGGGATGGGGCAGTAGGGGTGAGTGGCCGCGGGCTCTAATCGTCCTTGTCCTTGGCCCCGTGCTTCAGGATGCGGGTGAACTCCACGTAGTTGAAGTTGCCCTTTTTGTCGATGGGCGCCTCCCGGTACATCTCATCCACCTCCTCGTCAGTGAACCTGTCCCCCATGGTGGTCAGCAGCTCACGCAGGTGGTCCTCGTGGATGAAGCCTGCAAGGAGGGCAGGGGGCAGCGTTGGCAGGGGGCACGGGAGGGCTGAGCACAGCACCTCGCCCAGCTCTCCTGCTCTGGAGCTGCCTGGGGACTGTTCCAGCAGCCGTGTGGCCAGCCCCCGTGCTGGCTGTGGCAGAGGGGCCGGGCTGTACCTGAGGCCTCCTCGTCAAAGCAGGCGAAGGCGTTGCGGATCACGTCCTCGGGGTCGGTGCCGTTCAGCTTCTCCCCAAACATGGTGAGGAACATGGTGAAGTTGATGGGCCCCGGTGCCTCGCTCATCATCCCCTCCAGGTACTCGTCAGTGGGGTTCTTCCCTGCAGGACACGGGCAGGGGGTGGATGCAGGGCCCTGCTCCCCCAGCTCCCATCCCCGGGGTCAGCCCATTCAAACAAACAGCTGGAATGGCTTTTATCCATTGCAAATCGATCTGCTGGTTCTTGTTCACCCACCCCACGAGCATGGGAAAGGAGTTTCTGCAGTGCCCAGTGCTCCCCCCTCAGCATCTCTCCTGGTGCTTTCATCTACACCTGGGAACAAGCTCTGCCTTGGGGGAAGTGCAGTAATTGATTTGGGGGTTACTGGAATGAAACCCATAGCTTTTCCCATTCCCCCTGACAGCTCCGAGGAGAGGGGCAGCAGTGTCCTCACACAAGCCTCGTGCTGCTGATGTCCCCAGCACTGGTGCCACAGTGGGTGCACCAGGGATGCCTCAGCTCTGCTGAGCTCTGTGCCCCCAGCGCTGGCCTCTCTCTGCTCCCAGAGCTCCAGCTCCCTGGGAGGAGGGAGATCCCTCCCGTGGACAGGCAGGACTCCAGAACAGGTTTGGCTGCCAGGTCAATCATTGACAGACCTCCCAAAGCGCAGTGGAGATACCACTGGGGGCGGGAGGAGGGAGCCATGGTCTGCAGCAAAGGAGAATGGCTCGGGGCCGGGAGTGGGTACAGAGCTGCAAGTCTCAACCAGCCCAGGTATCACACCAGCACAGGGACCTGCCTTTGTCACCCAGCTGGGAGCAACAGGAGGCCTTTGTTCCATGTGGGACAGCCCCAGTGACATTCTGGGGTGAGACTACTCAAACATTCCATGGCTGCAGCTGGTGGTTGCTCCCAGGGCAGAGCTTCTCCAGCCCTGAAGGTCTCTTCCCTTGTGGTGAGTGCACCTGTGAGCAGCACACAGAGCTGCTGCCCTCGGACACCTCACAAACACCCCTTCTGTCAGCTGGTGGAGCAGAGAAATCCCAGCCCGGGCTCTGAGGTATCCCAGCACAGCCAGTGCCCAGCGCTGGGTGTGGGCACGAGGTCACCCTGCAGCCCTCCCTGCTCCCGAGCTGGGGCCAGGGGCAGAGGGGCTGCGGGGCACGGGCAGGGTGTCCTCACCAAGGGAAGCCAGCATGTCGTGCAGATCCTCCTTGTCAATGAAGCCATCGCGGTTCTGGTCAATCATGTTGAAAGCCTCCTTGAACTCCTGGATCTGGGACTGGTCGAACATGGCAAAGACGTTGGAGGTGGCGCGCTGGGGGCGCTTCTTGGTGGTCTTGGCTTTGGCACGTTTGCTGGACATCTTGGTGGCTGGGGAAGTACCTGGGGGCAGGAGCATCAGGAGGGCTGGGGACAGGCCGAGCCAGGGGGCCAGAGCAGGGACACACTGCCCCTGGCACCTCTGTGTCGTGCCTCAGTTTCCCCAGCTGTCACACACTTGGGCAACACAGGGAGATGAGACAGCCACAAGGTCAGACATGGGGATGGGCAGGACTTGAGCTCTGATGAGTTCCACGGGCAGTCACAGAGCAGGCAGTGCTCACTGCAGTTCCCCAGGACCGTCCCCCAGGGCTGCAGGCAGCCCCCAAACCCACTTGCTGCCTGTCCTCTCTGCACATCCGGGCACAGGGAGAGACCCCCGGCCCAGCACCCGGCTGGGTGCCAGTCCTGGGGCCATGGGGATGGAGATTTCAGCACTTCAGTCACCGTGGCTGTGCCTCTCCACCTCCCCTCGCTCTGGCAGGCTCTCCAGGCCCAGCCCAGCTGCCAGGCTGGCAAGTCACCCTCACACCCTCTGTACCACAGTGCCAAAGCTGCCCCAGCAACCAGCACAAGGGGGTTATCTGCTCCAGGCACATTCCTCACACACCACTGCTTCCCATGTCCTTCCCTCTGTCCATCCATCCATCCATCCATCCATCCATCCATCCATCCATCCATCCATCCATCCCACCCCTGGTGGGTGAAACACCTCTTGCTGCTGCCCTCCCTGTCCCAGTGACCCCCACCCTGCCCAGGGAGCCCACAGGAAGAGGCAGAGGGGAGAGGGGACCATTGACCTCAGAGGGCTGCAGAGCCAGGAGAGGAGCCAAGAGCCCCAGGGCACTGAGGGTGGTGCTGTTGTTACAGGTAATGAATGCCAGGAGAAGGGGGAGAGGCAGTGGGACAGACCCACCTTTGGGCACAGTGTGTGTCCCACGGGGAATGGCACAGGGACCATGTGGACCCCAAGCACCACTGAGGCAGGACAACAGCAGGAACACCTGGTCCTTCCAAGGTGGAGGTTGCTGTGCCCAACTGGAACTGGGGCCCCCAGCAGGAACAGGGCTGGAGCAGAGAGCCCACTCCCAGCCCGGGATGGCATCCAGTCCCCCTCAGGCTCCCAGCAGGGGGCTGGTGGTGTCCCCACACCAGTCCAGGGATGCACTCATGGTTTGGAACATCCTGCTCCCCTGACACTGCCTGAGAGGAGGATGCTCAGGTTCCTCCCAGGGGAATCCTGCCGGCTTAGCCCAGCAGGATGGCAGCAAAGCCCAGCTTGGGCTGTGGGAGAGGCTGGGGTGGTCCTGTGGGACAGGCTGGGGTGGTCCTGTGGGACAGCCCAGGGAAGGGACAGTGCTCCGAGCCCTCGTGTTTGTGCCACAGCCATTCCTCCCTCACACACAGCCCTGACTCTCCTCCTGGCCAGTGTCTGGCTTGGGCAGCAGCTGCTGGGGCAATAACAAATTAATGCATCATGAAGGGATTCCATGGTGGAAGAGCAGAGAATCAGTCCTGTGCTCTGTGTGCCCCATGCCTGGTGGGCAGCAGGACCTGGACTCCTCATCAGTGCCCAGGGATGGAGCAATTCAGGAGCCACATCCTCTGTCATGGAGACACACCCCAGTGAGCTGCAGGAGGGCTGTCCCTGCTGGGCTGGACCCTGAGTGGGCTGCTCTGGGATCTGCTCTGGAATCTGCTGCCAGCTGGGTCCTTAGTGCTGAGCCCAGGGGACCACGGGGACCTGGGGAACATCCCCTGGTGCTGACATGGGCCAGAGCAGAGCAAACAACCTTCAGAGAGCCTTCCCCTGCCCTCCCCACACCAGACCCACTCTCCAGGTCTCTTCTTCCCCTCCTGCTATCACTCTCTCAAGGGGCAGCAGAGGTAAGGGCTGGGGCAGGGGGCCACCAGCCTGGTCCTCAGCCTGCTGTGGTCTCCAGGTTCCCGCAGCTGGGCTGTGCTGGAAGGACATTCCAAGGGCATCAGACAGTGCCAAATCACAACCCAACACACCACAGTGACCAGCCAAGCTCAGAGGGGGCAGGGCACCTCCTCCCACACCCTGACAAGGCTCCCATCCCACTGTGGAAGCACCCACAGAGTCCAGGCAGAGCCCGTCATCTGCAGGGAACATGCCCCATGTCCCCAGGAGTCCTCCCTCATCCCCCATATGCCCCCATTCCAGGATGGAATCCACACCTCCCTCAGCCCCCTCCTTTGTGCTGACCTCACCACCTACAGCAGCCCCAAACCCCCCCACATCCCCTGAACTCTCCCTCCTTTCCCAGTGCCCACCAGGAAAGAGATGTTTGTCACTAGCCAGCCAAGGGGAGAAGCAGGACTGGGGAGCCCAGCTGTGCCCACATTGCTTGAGCTGGAGACCTCATCCCCCAGTCCATCTCTGCCTGCTGCTTCCTCCAGCCCCACAGAGCTCTTTGCAGCAGGCCAGCCCCTCTCTGTGTGCCCTGCCAGGCAGCACCGAGCACCAGTGACACCCCCAGATGGCACCAGTGACACCCCCAGATGGCACCAGTGACACCCCCAGATGGCACCAGTGACACCCCCAGATGAAAGGGGACGGTGACATCCCACGGCAGCAGCGTGGGAAGCTCAGTTCAACACCACAACAGCACCAGGCCGAGTCAGAGCCAGAAACTAAAGCTCTGCTGCTGGCCCATGGCACTGAGCTCAGCTTTCAAAACACATCAAATTATTAGCAGAAGACTATAGAAATAAGCAGGAGTTTTACTCTCACCACATGAATTAACATTATCCAATTATTTACCGTGCCCTGACTGTGACCAGCAGCAGCACAGCTTGGCACCATCTCCACACAGACAGTGCTCTTCAGCAGGATTAAGTACAGCACACGGATCTGCAGTTTGATCCAAAATGTGCTCTGGAAAGACGCTCAGTCCCAAGGTCCAGCTCACTCATTCTGTCTCTGCTGTTTGACAGCTGCCTTGGGCTGGCTGGGACATGGGAAGAGATTTTTGGGTCAGTGTGGGGAAAGGTTCCTGTGCATGGATGCTGTGCAGGGATCTGCAGCCAGACCTGATTCAGCTGGAGCAGTCCCTGCTCTACACAAGGGCTTGATGGCCATGCTTTCTGGGATTCCCAAAACCCAGCTCCAAGAGCATTGCAGGGAATGCCTGGCCATGATGCCCTGCAAGCTGGGCTGGCCTCAGCAGGAGGGAAATGCATGGACACAGGTCCTGCCCCCGGCACCCCCTGCTGAAAGCCCCGTCCCAGCACTGCTCCAGCCCAGGAACTGTGGATCCTGGGCAGCAGAGCCAAGGAGGTCAGTGCTGGGTGACAGCCACACACTGATCTGGTCCCCAACTCCCCCTGTCACCAGCTTCCCTTGTTCCCTTGTCCCTCTGCCACTGCCCCTGCCAAAACAATTTCCCAGCCTCCTGCAGTGGAGGCAAAATGATCTCCTGCCAGGCTTGTGCCTCCCCACCTGAGAGCCAGACCCAAGGGACCACGGGGCTGACCTAAAGAGTCCATAAATTAGTAAATAGTTTAGTTTGAAAGAGGAAAGGACCCACAGTTATCCGAAATATAAACTGCCACGTGTTTCCTCCTTGGTAAAAACCAAGCAAGCAGCTCCATCCCGGTGCTGCTTCCTGGCTGGGCTGGGGAGGGTGGGACAAGCCAAAGGGACAGGGCAGTGCTGCCAGGGCAGGCAGCCTGTCCCAGCCCCATCCTTCCCCTCCTGCCTGCTTCCACCCTCGCCTGCAGCTCCTCCTGTGCTGTCCCAGCTCACTCTCCTGGCAGGAGCTCACCGCTGGGCTGTGGGTGCTGTGACAGGCTGGGCAGGAGGAGGAGGGCAGGAAGGGGACAGGGCAGCTCCTCCGGCAGACGTGGCAGCAGCCTGTCCCCAGCCTCTGGGGTGTTCACATGGATCTTGAAGCTATGATCTCCCAGGATATGTTGCTAAGGGCTTCCCAGGGATGGCTGCTCAGAAGCTGCTCCAGCAGGAGCCACCTCTGGAAGTGCTGAGGACTCTGCAGTGGGACTGCCCTGCCATCCCTGGCACAGCCGGGCAGGGACATCTGCTCCAGAGCTCCTCCACAGCATCCTGGCAGAGAGAGGCACGATGTGCCCATGTGCCTCTGCAGCCTGGGCTGTCCCGAGGGACACTCCTGCAGGGCAGACATTGGCTCCTCAGGGGGAACTGTGCTCAAACCTCTGCCCAGTCCCCAGAGAGTTGTGAGTACCAGCAAGCCACGAGGCAGCCACATTCACTGGTGGGCAAGCGCTGGCCCCATCACTGCAGCCCCGCAGAGGCAGCAGGTTCCACCCCTGCTCCAGGGTGGCACGAGGGCCAGCAGGGTGAGATGGTGCCTTGTGCATGCCCCTGGCACAGGAGGGGGAACATCGTTCCACTCTAAAGCTTTGCCAGCCTCAGGCACCTCTCACAGCCCCAGGGCTGCTCACCGGGTGGCCACACTGGGGGAGGGAGCAGGGACCAGCTCATCTTCCCTGTTTCTTTTGTTGTTAAACCATCCCTTTCCTCCAGCACAGTCCTGCTCAGGATGCCCGTGGGATGTGGCATTGCTCAGCTGCACCAAGGAGGGTTTCTGGTGCCAGGGAAGCCCCACTGCCAGGCAGAGGCACCGGCAGCTACGGGAGGAATCCTCGGCCCACTCGACACTGCAGGAATGCAGGCAGCTGCCATTCTGCTCCTTTTATGGCCTTATTAGAGCTGTGGGAAAGGGAGCCTGGAGGTGAGATGAAAGCAGACCCTGAGCCCTGGGCTGTGTCTCCAGCCCAGCCACAGCCACCGGCACTGGTGCCAGGGAGGAAGGGCCAGGGCAGCATCAGTCAGAGCAAAGTGTGCAGCGACCCCCGGGGAGGCAGAGCTCATCCCAGCCCTCCCCCAGCTTCCACCGGGGTCCCCGCACAGCTGTGGGGCTCAGCTGCAAGTTCAGCAGATGGTTTCTGGACTAGTTGCTTCCCACCAAGTGTAAGAGACAAGGAGCTCACCATGTGGCACACGCAAACCCTTCCAAAGCACAAGTCCTGCGGCCCCCAGGAGAAGCCCGGGCACAGAGAGCCTCGGGGTTCAAAGCACCCAGCCCCTTCCCGTGCCCGGGGAGGCCGGGAAAGGGACCACGGGCACAAGGTCTTCACGGCCTCGGGCAGTCAGCATAACGTGTCCTGGCCGGAGTTTGCTATTTTCCCAGGGGAATTAAGGGGCTCACCTCGGCGGGGGAATGTGGCCGCAGCGCCTCGGAGGGGGGAGGTGGCCGCAAACTCCTCCTACAACCGCAGAGAGCCTGCCAGGGAGAGAGGAAAAAAATTCCAGCGACTGAAGGAACCCAACCATCTTTGGTCAGCAACCGTGGTTGTTAACACTTGGGGATGTTCCACTCCAAAGAATTCAGCTCCAGCCACCGCCTTCTCCTACACATCCATGTTTTAGAGCTTGCCTGGCTTTTATCACAGTCGAAACATTTTGTACCAAAAGGGCATGCTGGGAGGGAAGCCAAGAGGACTTCAAGTTTTCATGGGAAAGACTAAACAAAACACAACATCCCTCTGTGCTTAAGGCTGAAGGAAATGAGCTAAATAAAGCTTTTCTGCCTTAAAGAAGTTTACTGCCTGAAGTGGCTCCCAGGTCACTAGGGAGATATCTGGAGCATCACGCATGCATCCGGATCTTGGCCCTGGTCTTCAGCAAAAGGACTTGGAGGAAAAGCAGATGTTCTAGACAGAACAGCCTCAGAGATCGGGAGGTGGGTGAAACCACGGGCAGCAAGACCTGCTCCTGCAGCTCTGCCATCCTGGGGAAGTCAGGATGTCCCAGCTCCAAGGCACTGCAGACAGCTACCCTCAGCTTGGCTCCGGACCCATCCCCACTGCCCTTCCGGGACATTTCTGCTGGGCCAGGCAGGAGGCTGCCCGGGTACAGGATGCCCGGCAGGATCCCGGGATCCTCCTGCCGCCTCAACCCATCCCGGGGCTGACCTCGGCACCAGCTCCAGCACCGCAGAGGTGGAGGAACGGCGGAGCTGCCTCCCTCTGCTCCCCGAGGCAGCCGGGCCAGCTCCTCCCGCTCTCCCGGGACGGCCGGGGCTGCTCCCCCTGCCCGCCTCGGCTCCATCCCTCCCGCTGCATCCCCCGCTCCATCCGCCCCTCTCTCCCCGTCCCGGGGCCGCTCGTTCCCGTCCCGGGGCCGCCGCCTCACCTGTCCCGGAGCGGGGAGCCGCGGGCGCTGCCGGAGCTGCGGGACGTGCGGGAGCTGCGGGGCCGGGGCTGCTCTGCGGGACGCGGCTCCGCGGGGCGGGTGGGCCCAGGGTCCCGGCCCGGCCCGGCCCGGCCCATACAAGGCAGAAGAATGCGGCGGGGCCGGGGCCGCGGGGCCGGGACGCCCTTATATAGACGAAAGCGGCGGCCCACGCGTGCCCCCGTGCCGCGGGGCGATGCGCAGCGCCGGGCAAGCCGCGCGTCCCGCCCGCTGGTGCGGGGAAACGCCCCGCGGGTGGCACTGCCCGGGGCACTCGGCGGTGCCTCGCCCGGGAGCAGCCCTGGCAGGTCCTCGCTGGTGGGGCTGCAGGACCAGAGGGCCCTGGGCTCCGCGAGAGGCCAGACAGTGCCCACAGGCTGCACTGCAGGTGGCAATGCAAAGGGAACCGTGGCCAGAAGGGTCAAGCAGCCCCTCAAAGGGTCTCTAAAGAGTGGCCTGGAGCAGAGAACAGCTGAGGAACTGCCTCGTTCCCAAGCAGGGATGCAGAGCCTGGAGAAACAGGGCTGGGGAGCTCCTTCCCCCGAGGCAGGACTCACACTGACCCTGGGACACCTCTCCAGGGCAGCAGCTCTTGCTCACGTTTCCTTCCCACCCCGAGCCTCAGCACAGTCCTGCAGCCACCAAGAGGAGCTCCTGGTCCTGTGGGGATCCCCCTTGGGAGGGTGATGTCCCTCCAGACATCATCCCAGAGGAGGTTTATCTCTGTTTTGTGGGGTCCCACAGCTCCAGGGGCAGAATTGAGCCTGCAGAGGAGCAGGAAGGTGGAAGAGGGAGACATGAGGAGTACTTCTGAGAGGGAGTGTTCTTCTGGGGACCCAGCTCTGACTGAGCAGTCAGAGCAGGACTGCCCAGCTTCAGCATCCCAGGAGCTCCATCACTGCCCATGGAGACGTGGGAAGCTGAGGCTGAGCACCAGACCCTGGTCAGAGGGGACAGCACAGAGCACACAGGCTGCACTTGCAGCAGCACAGATGAAGAACAGAAATGAGCAGTGACACAAATTAATCTTCAGCTGCCATTCTCCTGCAGGGCACCACTGCAAACAACAGCTAAAAAGCCAAACAAACCTGTTTCAGCCCTGATACAAAAGCAGTGGCTGTGCCCTCTGGCAGGCTGGCCAGACCCTGCCCAAGGCATGGAGTGTGTTCCCACTGGCTCAGAAAGCAGTGACCTGCTCTGCCAAGAGCCTGCCTGACTTGGGGACATCCTCCCCGTGTCCCCGTGCTGCTTGGATGAAATCTGCAGGGACATTGCCTCCCCTGGGGAGCCACAGAGGTTCCCGACCCTTGGCTGGAAGCAGCTGTCCTGCCTGCAGCCCCTCTGAAGGACAGGCTGTGGGCTCAGAAGCCAGCAGAATGCAGGAGTAGGGTTGGAAAGGCTGCTGGATGCTATGCCAGCGTGGAGACAAGCCAGAGAAAGCACAGAACATTTGCCATGCCCGTGAGCTGGACAGGAAGGCCTCAGAAGGTTTGTCTTTTTAATAAAAAATATAAGGAAAGAGGGAAAGGAAAAAAAAAAAAACACCACCAAAAAAACCCACCCAAAAAAACCCCCAAAAACCAAACCCCAAACCAATCGGGAGTCAGCCAGCCTGAGCTGCCACCCCGTGGCTGGTCCCAGAGTTTTCTGTGCTGGAGAAGCCCAGCCTCAGCAGGGTCCAGGTGTTCCCAGGAGCCCAGCAGGAGCAGGACCCACCCGCAGCCCCTCTGGGGTGGCTGCTGTCCCTCACTGAGCCCTGCTTTCTCACCACTGGCAAGTGTCCAGCCAGGCCCCTGCGAGGGGAGCTGCTGAAGAGGGGCTGCAGGCGCATGGCAGCTCCTCCAGGCTTTGCAGCCCCTACAGCTGAGGCACTTCTGCTGTCCCCTGAGCACCATCCAGCCCTGCCTGCCTTCCCTGTCTGTGCCCAGGGCTGCCCATGTCATCCTCCTTCCCTGCTTCCATGTGTCTGCCAACACACATCCCTCACCAGGGCCTGTCTGTGACCTCTGGCACCTCTCCTGCCTTCCTCTGGCTCTTTCAAGCCCAAATTTAATTTGCTTCTCTCTCTGTCAGTATCAGTCAACGGAAATGCAGTAAAACAAGCTTTTTTTTTAAAGAGTGTGAATTTTAGGTCAGTTGCCTGACCCAGGTGTTGTCATCACCATGCAGGCGTTTCCATCCCTGTGAAGTGGGGACGGGGACGGGGACAGGGACACTGCTTACACCCTCCCCAAGCACCTGAGGAGTGTCTGGGGAGCAAGGCTGGAGCCAGGACACGTCTGGCCTGGCCCTGCCGTGGGGGTCAGAGGCAAAGGAGCTGCCAAAGACACAGTGCTGACCCCACACTGCATGTCCCCTTCCTGGCCGTGCCACCAGGCTTCCTGGGCTTGGACAGCCTCTGGCTCCTGGCAAATGCCCAAGGGGCTGGAGATGATCAAAGCCTGATGGCCTTGCAGGAGGAGGGCAAGATACTTCTCCATAAGTGCACTGGTACCTTGCATAACCTGTATTTAAATTACACTCCCCAGCTGGAAGTGATCAGAGCTCAGGGACAGGGGCTCCTCTCTCTGTGCCCTCCATGCTGACCCCACACAACCCAGGCAGTGTCAGCCTGCACCCACAGGCTCCAGGTCCTGCTGGCAGCAAAGCAGCTGCTGCTGGAGCATTTGGAGCTGCAGCCAGGCTCTGGAGATGCTCAGCACATTGTGTTTGCAGGCCCGTGAGACAAGAAAAAATGCAGGACCTCGGGCCTGGGGTTTGTTTCTGGGAAAAGGGAGCAGCGAAGCTCATGGTGTGCCAGTGCCGGTGGGATGTGCACAGCAGGGAGGGAGGGACGGCTCCACACAGGGCACCTGGGCAGGGCTCAGCCCCACTGGCACCGGGGAGGATCCCCACGGCACCCAGGGCTTCCAGCAGTGCAGAGTGGCCCCAGCAGCACCAAACTCAGCTGCCAGGGGCACCTGGAATATTGTCACTAAGGCCCCTCTCTGCTCACACAATCAATGCTGAGGAGGTAACAGAGAGAGAGAGCCAACCACACACCCTGTGCACAGCACACAGCAGTAATTCCTCTGTTTTTCCAGGAGCGTGACTGGTCTGAGTACCACTGCTCCTGGAAGACAAGAACATTACACAGTCAAGTCGCTAGGGCTGCACCTGTGATAACTCTACCCACAAGTTCAGCTGCTCTAAGGCCCGTGAATAACCAGGCGAGAAGCTGCCGGCCGTGTGTGCCCTACGGGCCGCCAGCTCTGCGGCTGTGGGCTCCACAGCGCGGGGCCGAGCACCGAGCACCGGGCACCGGGCCGGCCTGGGGCGGCCTGCTGGCAGGCTGGGCCACCCTGCAGGGCTGTGCCCCGCCCAGCCACCAGCCCCGGCACTGCTGGCTGGCCCTTTCGCTGGGGAATGGCCCTGCCAGGCCGAGACTACACCTCCTCTGCTTTCCTTCTCCTTCTCCTTCCCTTCCCTTCCCTCCCCGCCCTCTCTCGGCCGCCGTAGGGCGCGGCCCCGCCGCTGTCACGTGCCGCGCGGCGAAACAG